CTTCGCCCCCCCCCCCCCCCCCCCATAATATTCTAAATTTGCTGTTGGTTCTTTTTCTAGGCAAACTTTCAAGTGCTGATAGTGAACTAAAGTGAACTGAAACTAAGTTTGACTTGTTGAAAGTTGAACCTTGTCCTCAGCCTGCAGGGCCTTGCAGTGACTGTTAAACCGGTCCGGGATGAAAGATTTTACAGTAAATTGCTTCTTTCCAGATTTATTTTAAGAACTCTGATGAAGTTTTCTCTCTTTACCAGCAAGCATGCAGGAGGAGCAAACTGGTCTCTGGGAACAAGTCGGAGCTTGACTGATGTACATTTTTATTTAAATCAGCATGTTTTGTTTTTCAACAAGCTCTTTTTTGATTTACCAATTTCAGAACATGTAACAATCTGACCTGGGAGTGAATTGGATGTTGAACACTGACAATTATACACATAAGATAAAGCAAAGAACCAGTCAGCATAGGTCCGCTTTTAAAAAGACGTTTTTTTTAAAGACGTTTGCTTTAAAAAGGAAAGATGTAGAATTTCCTAACTTTTTGAGTCATCTTTTCTATTTTATTGCTCTAAAAAACATTTTTATACCAACAGAAAACACTTTAACTATTTAACCAAGGTTAGTAGGCCATGCACACTTTTGAGTAAAAACTTTCTGGATATTTTTGATGTGCCACTTTCTATACGTTTTAAGATGAAAGCAAAACGTTCATGTTCAAATCCATTGAAAATGGTCTTAATTGGTCATTAGAAAATAATTTAATCCCAACAAATGACAAAGAACCTCTCCAACTCCATCATTTTTGTCTAATGACTACTGAAAAGAAGCACCAGCCTCCCTCGCAACTTTGTGGATGATACTATAATGTTGCTAACTATTAAATGTTTTCCCTCTCCTGCTATTAACTTTCACTTTTCATTAACATAGAAAACACACCTAGTTCATCCGCTTCTTATTTGTGTCTCTGCTCTATCTTCTCAACCTGCAGTCGGTGTTGGCAGATGGCCGCTCATTCTGAGCCAGGTCCTGGTTCTGCTGGAGGTTTCTTCTTGTTAAAGTTTTTCCTCTTAACTGTCGCTATGTGCTCTTCTAATAAAAACTGTTAGGCTTCTCTAGATAGAAACATTTTAGTTAATTTAAATAGTAAACCAAACTTGATGCACTGCTTGACAATTCAACTGGAATGTCTGTATGATTGTATTGAACTGAATTAAATTGAATTATTTTCATGGTTATTTTAATCTCTGCCATCCATTTACAATTTATCTACTACATCTCCTACTAAATACAAGAAAGAGAATATATACCAAATTCCTAAAATAATGAATCAATGAATAAACGCTTTGTACTCACTGAATTATAGATAGTGCGTCCACCCTGCTGTAAAACTGAAACAAAAATATGCGGTTTAATTTCGTATCCACTGTTATTTTTGAGTTAGTGTTTACTTAACAAAATGTGTTTTTAAGAAGATGACCAGGTTTGTATTGTAGCTGTGCTGCTGTGTTAAGAGTTTTTCGGAGTCGAAAGATACGGTTCTTTAAGTTTAGTTGAACCAAGTGATCCGGAACTCATGAACAAAATCGCAGCAAAAGAATTTTCTTCCGGGACGTATTTCAATGAAGGACCATTTCCGTTTCCTGTTCAGTTGTCAACACAAGCTCCACGCGCGTACTCTTGGAGAGCAAAATGGTAAGACAGCGTGAGTCTGCAGTGTGTTGACAGCAGCCGCGGTGAGAAAGACGGAGAACTGATGTTTGGTTTGGTTGTTCCTCAGCCGAAGGCCCAGAAGAGCAAAGCTGCGGACAAAGTCGTCCATCCGTTCAGCAGGAAAGCTGCTTACCTGAACCGGGAGGAGGTCCGACTGAAGCGGAAAGAGAGGTCAGTCCATGAGAACCAGAACCGGCGCTGTTTCCGGCTGTTTGGACCGCTTTAGTCTAATTGGCGATTCTTTAATGTTAACAGGATGAAGAGTGAAAAAGCAACACGCCTGAGCAACATAGGCGAGTTTGTGGTTCTATTTATAATGAAAAAATAACTTTGAGAATAGTAATAATTATTATGACGTTAGAGGCTTGTAAACTCATGGTTCTGCTTGTTATAAATCACAGGTGAGAAGCTGCTGTGGTTTCAGAGTCAACTGGATCCAAACAAGACGAACTACACCAAGAGAGATGCCTGTGAGGTTGTTGAAAGGTACCAGACCCGGTTCTGCTGGCTCTTCCCAGACGTTTAATTCAATTCAGAAACACTTAATTGATCCCAAAGGAAAATTAAATGTTGTTGTAAATCATTAATTCCAAATTCTTCAAATACTTATTGTAGATGGTTATTAACAGATATTGTGTCTATTGCGAGATAGTTATTGATTTCTTGTCCAACCATTTATAACTGATATATCTGGATAATTAGTTCAAGACTTTGGAGAAGCTTCCATGATTTAAATGTGTCCAAGTTTGAAGGATTTCTATTATCTCTGAATGTTGAGTTTAAATCAGAGCAGCAGAACCAGAGTTACCAGCACTGCCTGAGTTCATTAGTTCTGCTTTCCTCTTGTCTCTCAGCTGTTATTAATAGGGTTATAGGATAATAGGCTGTTAATAGGCTGTTATTATTAATATTAATATGTTTGTCTGGAATGTTCAGGTACCTCCACAGATTCGACTCGGAGCTCGAGCAGATCGAGTTGGTGAACGGGATCAAGGGTCGTCAGGGTCGTCTCCACGGCGCCAGAGAAACGGCCATCAAACAGAGCGTAGAGCGAGAGCGGGCACAGTTTGAGGGCGCTGGGTTGGGTGAGTCACTCCCGGAAACACAAAGCAGCTGTTCACATTGATATGTCCAGTCAGATTCCATCTTTCCCTGTTGTTTTTTTTTGTTTGTTTGTTTTTCAGAGATCCCAGACATCATCAACACCAAGCATCTGAAATCATTCAGGTCAGATTTTGAGACATACTAATTAGACCTAACTGATCCATTCCAAGTCCAGTTTTGATTTGGGGGATCATATGGAAACACGCAGTCATGTCCTAGACCAGTGTTTCTCAACCCTGGTCCTCACCGCCCCCCTGCTCTGCATGTTTTGGATGTGCCTCTATTCTAGAACAGCTGATTCAAATGATTGCATGACCATCAAATACTGCAGAAGCCTGTTAATCACGCAGAGATACAATTCAGGTGTGTGGCAGAAGGGAAATACCTAAAACATGCAGGACATGGAGGTGGTGAGGACCAGGGTGAGTTTGGGTCAACCCATGTGACCCAAACTCTTACCATCACAAAAGAGGACATTGATCAGGAACAACCTGAGCTACCGCAAACTGTCCACAATGAAACAAGCTTAATATCAGGGGGTGTCACCCAAAAAACAAATCTCTCCTGCAAAATAGACACATTCAAGCTGCAACTGTTCACATCGGCAAGCCAAATGTCTGCTGGTGTGAAGTTTTACAGTCAGATGAGGAAAATATCAACCTTTTGGCTTCAATAGCTGCATTTCCATCGACCATTTAATGGCACAATTTGACATTTTGAAAATAAATTTGCGTAATGGAAATACAGCAATTTTGAAAAGATGTTTGTCGATAAAGTTTTGGTGCTAGGAGGTGGGTTTCTTTTTTGGGGGGCTGTATTGAAATTTGCTTCTTGCAAAACTGTAATGGAAACACTTTTTGCGTCACATGATCAACAATCAGATGTTGCCACTGGCGTAAACACTGAAGACGACGACAGGAAGTAGTTGGAGGATGATGGCGTGGCATGATTTATAATGACTCATCACATAAAGAAATCTATCCACATCACTTTAATTATGTTTGTTCAATGGAGACATTTTTTTTTTCGACATTAGTGGGATATTGACAAAGCTTTGCGCATATTTGTAGTGGAAATGCAGCTAGTGACCAGATGAATATTTGGAGATATGACATTTTGAATTTCAACCTATCACAATGATAAATTTTATTGGGCGATAAATTGCCTCAATAATTCTTGCGATTAACGATAGCACTGTTTCGAGACCAATTTCGAGTGACGTATTGATAAGGGTATAATAAGCAAGTTCACCTTCTCGAAGACCAACAAACTTTAATTTTGTAAAGAGCACTTAGCACTGGAACTGGATACTTTAAATGTTCAAAATAAAACCAAAAACAATAAATAAAACGGGGGAAAAAACACTTAAGAGTTCAGTGAATATTCTATATACTGAATATTCTACCAGATGTATTATCTATTTATATCTATTTATATTGATAATTTGTCTATTGAAATATATATTGGTTTATTGTCCAGCCCTAAGTGTGTGTGTATATATATATATATATATATATATTCAAGCCTTAATGTGTAATCTTGCCTAATCCACATAATCCGATAAAATTCACAACCCTTGTTCCTAGAAATGGCATGCTTAAAACAAAAAAAAAAGTACAAAACATGTTGAAAATACAGAGATTTTTTATAACATGTTTCTCAGGTATAAAAAAAAACTAATATATTTTTTATTTTCTTCAGAGATTGGACTGGAGATCTGAAGAAACTTCCAAACATAAAAATGCGAAAAGTTTCAAGCAAAGTTTTGGACACAAAGGCTGAGATGGAGGAAAAAGAGGAGGTGCAGTATGATGATGATGAAGATGATGATGAAGAAGAGGAGGAGGCACTGGATGACAACATGGAGATGCCCGAGTCTCACTAACACTCACCTCAGTCTGACTGGATTATGCTGCTCTGCCACGACTGTCCACAAGATGGTGCTAGACCTTCAGATTCAGCCACCCAAACCTTTTCCGCTTGATAATTCAATAACAGCAACTTTTTGGATGTTCTACATTCATCATTTATTGCACAGACAAAAAAATGAAAAGGTTTTGTATGTAACCCACAGCGTCTCCAATCAGACCTATGAACGGACTGTGGATTGAAGACACAAATACGCTCTGACCCCTGAACTGTGACCTGTGACACTGGAAATCACATCTGTAGAAAATTTGAGAAAATTAAACATTCATCCCTTTTTAAGGTTTAGACAAACACGGCTGCAATCTAACGAAAAAACACCAACAGATGGCAACTGTAAAACCTCTAATCATATTGACATTGAAATCACTGACCTGCAGAGTAAGAACCACAAACAAACGATGACAAAACTGCCCTAATACATTTTCAAAGGTCACATATCTAGATCCAGACTGGAATTAAGACTAAATGCTTTAATAATTACAAGTCTTTGGTGACTGAAGACCTGATTGTCCCGGAGTGTTTGAAGGTGTCGGTGTGCTTCAAGTCGCCCAGTGGACAGTCTCATATGAACCGCTCTGTGGAGCTCTGGGTTTTATTTAGTAGTGTCAGATAAAAGGGAGGATGAATTAAAACTCATCCAGAACTTTATTTTGTATTTGTATATCAAATAAAATTCTGTTAAATTTAAGAAATTTTGTGGCTGTAATGACAGAATGTTAAATATCTGTAAAAGTCCTGATCTTCTACATCTCCACAGCTCTTCACACACACATTCACACACTGATGGTGGGGAGCTAGCTTGTAGCCACGGCTGCCCTGGGGCAGTTTGGCAGGAGGGATTTTCAAGGGTATGAATATTTCTGCAATATAGACAAAACCAGTTAGTGGGTCTGATCGTGTAAATGTGACGTTTAGAGGTTTCTAATAGTGAGAGGATTTCAACTAATGTACATTTATACATCACTGTCTGCTGGATATTTCGACATAAGTGTTTCATATCAGTCTATTGATAATTACTGATTACTTTTTTGTTTTATATATCTAAAATCCTGCCAAACTCGTGGCATGACCGTTCCTGTTTTATCCACAGTTTTCTCTCTGCTGTTTATTTTTAAGAATTTATTAGGCACTGTGGCAAAACCTGACACTGCTGCTGCTCAAGTTACTGAACAGGTTGTTGCTCGGTAACCAATGAGCGAGTGAGTCAGTTGACGCCACTAGCCTTCAGTCTGAGCTTTCTCCCAACACTGAATTTCCTCCAGTAGATTTTCCACCAGGCCAATCAGAAACAGAAGGAGTCGACAATGATGACGTTGATTTTCTGCACAATTTTACCAATGGCATCGTTGGAAGTGAACGAAGTCGATCACAGTGTGTTTTGGTCTCTCTTCCAAATATTGAATTACCATTAACAGCCATCTTGTTTAGCTCAGCACTTCTCTCTTTGCAGTGGAGGACGATTGTTTATAGTGCAGACAATTTTCAGTTTAAAACTTCACCTGAGTCCATGCCTCCAGGAAGCAATTGTTTCTCAACAGCTGAGAATCTAGGCTCTCTGTACGAAGCAAACAGTGTAGAACGAGGTGCTGGTTGTTGCCTGGCCACCTGATGCCAGCAACTTTGCTTTGCTAGCCTTGAGCGGCTAAACCTTTGCCTGCATCTTCCAGAATGCAGTGCAGTTCAGTGAATATTCTCAATATTGAATTTCCTAACAGTTGCATTATCCATTGATATTGATCATGTGTCTATGGTGTTATATATTGTCTGGTATATGTGGGATGTGTGAAGCTTTATATTTGAACTCAGTTTTCAGTTTGCTAGGTGTATTTGAAGCACACTGAGACCTCTGGTTGAACCCATCCTCAGGAGTTTTCAACTACACCATTTCTATCAGTGCAGGTTTAGAAAGTGCATACTATAACATGGCATCAGTAAGCCATTAAACCACGTCTTTCCTCTTCAGTCCCCTTCTTATTGTCTCTCTTTTCTTACCGGTCTCTTGCGTTTTGTCCCTCCACGTCATGCCAGCTGTACTGGATGGGATCAGTATTTAGACTCATCTGCTGCATCTCAAAGACCAGCTATCTCTGCAGCTGAGCAGAAAGTACCACCTGAGTCTTGAATCACGCCTTGCTCTCTGAACAGAGCAGAGCGTGGTCCGGCACGCAGGAGGAGCGGTCAGACGGGATTTGGGTCCGGCGCCACCGCAGCCTCCACGAACAAGTCCGAGTCCATGTCCTGAGCCGGAGCCAGAGCCGGAGCGACGGAAACTTCCACAGCTTCGTGCTTCCCGTTGGACATGGCGCCGGGCCGGGCCTGAGGAGGGTGGTGCAGGTTCTTCTCCGGGCAGTTCTGCACCGTGATGATGCGGTTGAAGGCCTTGAGGCGGCGCCACAGCTGCAGGTAGACTTTGCACTGGATGTACATGAAGATGAGGCCGCCCGTGAAGCCGATGGCCACCACTATCAGCTTGGTCCAGAAGGGCCACTCCAGCACACCTGAGGAGACAGAGAACCCCCCCAACCCGCAGTCAGCCGGGCTGCAAGGGGAGCGCTGGAGGACAGGGGGAGTGTGTGTGCGCAGAGCTGCTTACCCTGAGCTGAATAGTACTTGAGAAGAGAAACTCTCCGTAACTCGTCTGCAATCAAGAGCAGGAGTAATTTCTCTGTTTGTCTGAAGCTATGACTGAAAGCTGCAGTATGCAACTTTCATAAAAATATATATACATATGTATTATTTTTACATATTTGTTGAAACTGTCAATATGTTGTGACAGTATGGTGTGAGACATCCATAAAATCAAGTTCCTCAGCTTTCTCTCAGTGCCAACTAGAAACAACTAATCAGAGCCCAGAGGTGGGTCTTATTGCTGCCAATCAAGCCTATGTGCATGCTGCTCAACCTCCATCTCTTTCCAATCTTGCTGTCTGCTGCCATACAGCTTCTCCCCACCAGCAGAGCCCATTGTGAATGCTAAGGCTAGTTAGCATGGCCACTGATTTAGTGGCACCTTCATGAGGTGACTGACAGTGATAAGACCCTCCCCTTAGCTGTGATTGGTTGGTTTTGGTTGGAAATGCTGCATTCTTTAGTTAGCAGTAGCAGCTCAGGGAGAAGGTGGAGGAGCTCAATTTTTTCAAAGATTATATCTTGTCTCATATTATACTGCAACATAGTGATAGTTTTACCATTTGTTTCTTTATAAAAGTTACATACTGTAGCTTTAAAGTCATTTTTAAATATATAAGCTCTGTTTAATACACTGCATCTATGTTTTATGCATCTAAAATATGACGACAGCACACAACACTTCAACACAACAAAGTACTGGGAGTCTTGTTTTTGTTTTCAATGTGAAAAAACAAGATGGAGTCAAACAGACTGAACTTCTGTGGTGTTACTTTCATCAACCTGCTACAGGATAGCCAAATTCAGAAAATGCTCCGATAGAGAGGATCTAAAACTTAACCTTTTTGTTAATGTTTCCACAAACTGTTCTTCGTTTCTCAAAATAAAACTAAAACACACTTCCTGCCTGCTTCTTTACAGCATTTCATTTCAGTTGAAGTCAGGAGGACTTCATCTGCTCCAATCCTGTGAAACAGTTGCAGTTCCTTTTAACAAACACCAGATGGTGCTGCACAATTTTTTCTAGAAAGGCTGTCCTTTCTGTCTGTGTTCACAGTTCCAAATGTTTTAATCCGTTTGGAGCCAAATTGGTTGAAAGATCTTAGACCAACATCAGTCCTCATCTCCTTCTGAACAGATATTTGCGGAGGTGTGACTTTATCAAACGTTTTCTCTAATCTACAAATGATCAAAAACAGCTATCCAAATCTTTTAATAGATGGTGCTAAAAGTTCTCTAATAGCATCTGACAAGGCCGTGGCGTAATAATATCTGGCTGATGATCATAATTGAGTGCAGCTAGTATTTTGTGCATAAAATGATTAATTCGACAGCACTTGTTAGATTGACCAATACTCTGAAAAATTAGAACATCAAAGGAACTCGAGGAAGACATAAAAAATAGAATTTTGCTCAGATACTTCCAAGATAATCAGTTCAAACCGCTGTACTTAATAAAACTAATCAGTGTACACCGGCCTGGAAGAATATGTGAAAAGCCATTAAATAGAAATGGCCGGAACAACCATGTCCCTGGCAATAGTAGCTGCTTTTTCATTGACCATTTAATTGCACAATTTGAGATTTTGAAAATACATTTGCTCAATGGAAACGCGCTGATTTCGAAAAAACTCTTGTTTTTCGATCAAAAGTTTTCATGAGGTGGTTTTCAGCTATACTGAAATCAGTTTATCTCGAAAAACTGCAATAGAGATACTTTATTTGTATCACAAGTTAAATGACTAAAAACCAGATGTTGCGAAAACCACGAAGAAGACGACAGGAAGTATGAGAATGATGACGCAGCATGTTTTTAAATGACTTATTTAGTGAGCAAACCTATTCGCGCATGATTTTAATTGCGTTTCTTATTTAATGGAAACACCACAATTGCGAAATTGTGTCTTTTCGACATCAGCGGAAGATAGACGAAGTTTTGTGCACATTTGTTTGTAATGAAAAAAGCAGCTAGTGAAGCTAGCTAGCTGGTTTGAGCTGCTCTTTCTCCAGGAATGATTGAACAACAAAATGTCAGCTGCTTTTCAGGGTTAAGCACATTTAAAAAGTTATTTTTTAAAATTTCCAGGCTTGAAAAAAAATGATTTAACTGAGTTTGACACACACAGGAGGCTTCTTCTTTAACTATTCACAAAATAGACAGAATTGACACCTGACCTTGTGAGAGAGACGACTGCCTTGAGGAAATCTCTTCTAAACTGTTGATGCATTCTAGAAAATTCTCATCTTTTGTCTAGGTTGTACAGAATAATATTTCAAAGGAACACCACCACAGGAGTTTCTCAGTACCAGTAAAAAGCTGCTTTTATATAGTTAAAGAATGGATAGATGTGTCCAAACTTTTTACTGGCTCTACAAACTAAACACCACAATCACCATTTTTACTAAATTAGAAAAAAAAAGAGCAATGATTCATGAACAACATCTTTAAAGTCAGACAGGTGAAAAGATTGAAGGTGCCCTGTGATGTTTCCTCATGACGACAGTAAATTATCCAAAACTTCCTCCAACCTAAACTGACTTTAAACTGTACGTACAGTAAATACGAAGAACAGAAGCAGAAAAGTAAATATTAAGAAGGACGTTAATCCACACACAGCTGCGAAAACAACGGCGCTCTCTTGTCAGCATTTAAATAAATCGACCTACAAGGATGATTGGCATAAATGAAGGTTAAAGGTCATGAAATCAATATGTTTAATTTGTATAGCACTTTTCTAAGTACTCAAAGACACTTAGTCATATTTTTACCTCATTTTAATCTAGAAGTTTAAGATACATAATTGCACTTCAATGTCAAAATAGGTTAGCTAGATCAGTCAACATCTAGACGCAAGACTGAGGCTTTTTATGGGCAGCTAGTCAGTGGACAACTTTAGATATCTTAGAGCTGGGAGGGAAGACATACAGGACTGTATTATGATGAGTCATATTATGAAAATGAACTTGCTTAATGGAAACATGGCAATTTCAAGATAAAAATAACATTTTTTGATTTTTAAAAAATAATTTTTGTTCTAAAAACATAGTTTTTGAGCCATATCACATTTTCACAGCTACATGTTTAAATTAGATCAGAAACTAACAAAAAAAAATCTGGATCAGAACATTTCCAAATTTATCACATGAGCGACTCAGAGAAGAATTGCGTCTTTTCTTTATATTTTGCTTCTAAGGAACCAGACTTTCTCCTAATCTGTTTAAAGTTTGGCTGCCTTTTCACTGAGTTTTAGTTCAGTATTGATGTAAAATTAAGAAAATGGACAAGAAGAGGGAAAAAAAGTAGACAACCTGAATCTTTCATGTATTTAATAAATGAACAGCTGATAAACAAGCTGAGAGATAAATTATCCTGTATTTGATCTGTATGACACATTTCATGAGCTAAAACTTTGCCTGGTTGATGCTTAAGGACGACCTTCAGAATGTCAAGCTGTGCAATCTTTACTATTTCTCAAAAATTAAACTCCAGAAATGGAAACAAATTTCTTTGCTTTTAGACTGCTGATGACAAAGTTCTTAATGATCTAAACCAAACTATCTCTTTGCCAAGAATGCCGACAGTTCAAGAGTTCATCCCTTGAATCTCGGAGGCGTTTGATACCTGGGTGGTTCCAAGACAACTATAAAGAAATGACTCCAAATATTTGTAGTGTTGTTCATCTATTATTTTTGTTTTTTTTTTTAAATGAGGAATGTGAGGGAAACAGCACAAGGTCCTGCTGAGGGTTTGTGTTTCAGGCTGATGGCAGACGGGAGCGTACTGACCGTTCTTCCCCAGTCGGATCTCGTCTGTGGTTCTCTTGACCAGAATGTAGACAGACCACAACATACACACTATAGCTATGAGGTGAAACAAAACCGAACAGAAGATCTTCCTCCTCTCACTCTTCGTCATGTGCAGCTTCTCCCACTGGAACAGACACACACAGACACACACAGAGACAGACAGAGACACAGACATGGTGAGAGAGGTTCCACTTAGAAGTAAAGTGTTAGATCAGTGATGTGATGGAGTGAAATACAAATACTTCATTACTGTACTTATGTACATTGTTTGTGTATCTGCATGTAGGTTTCATCGTGACTTTTCCTCCATTACATTTTACATTAAATATCAGATTTACTTCCTATTCCACTATAATGTGTTGCGTTACATTATTTATAATGTGTTACATTATTTATAATGTAACACAACACATATTGCAGACGGGACCATATTGCGTGTTTTTTAATTGTTTATTAGTTTTAAAGTAAAAAGTGATTTATTCAAGTTAGCCGATTAAAAAAAAACAAAAACAACTTCCCGGTCCAACTTTTGAAACTGGCATCAAGAAATTTAAATATTATCTGCTATTACATATTGTGTTTCTGTAAGTTGACAACAAACTGGAGAAGTGTCAGTAAAAAATGATTAAAACAAGTTTTACTTGAACCACATCGTTTTCCTTTGTTTTAAATAAAAACATTCAAAGATATAATTATTTCTCTTTCTTATTTAGCTTAATGGCGTTTAACTCTGTAGGTCGTCCCTGAAATTATGATGCACAGAATCACAAGTCCAAGTGTGAATTATGTAACAAAGAGTAAACACAATTTTATTGTTCGTTAAAATGCAACAACAAGCTTAAAGTATTAAAGGAAAAATACATACAGCAGGCACTCTTAATGATATAAAACGGATGTATTACACTACAAAAACAAAATATTAAGTATTTTTGGTGTAGTTTCTAGAGTAAATATCTCAATACACTTAGACAAATAATAAGAATAAGACAAAACTAACTTACAAGTAACTTTTCAGAAAGACATAGGAGCTTGTTTTAAGTCCATAATTCCTTAACATTGACGAGAAATGATCTGTTACATTGGTAGATTATTTCATTTACAGCACAAGATTTTTTTCATGTTATAAGTGAAATAATCTGCCCAAGGAACCAGAACCTTTTCATCAATATTAAGGAATTATTGACTTAGAACAAGCTCCTAAATCTTGCTGAAAAGTTACTTAGAAGTTAGTTTCATTTTCTTTCAAGTGTACTCAGATATTTGCACTAGAAACTAGAACTAGACCAAAAACACTTGGTAGGATTTTTGTGTTTTTGCAGTGTAGGAACAAGTACCACTACTTTCAATACTTCAGGTATTTTTAACATCATGTACTCACTTACTTTTACTCAAGTAAAAAGCACATTTTTCTCCATTTATTTGTACTTTTACTTAAGCTCAGTGTTTGGGTATTCGCTGGTCACAGCTGAGTACCCAGGAGGCTCGGTGAGTGTGTGTGAGCTCACCTTGCTCAGAGGTTTGAGCTTGGTTTCCATGATGAAGTCGAACTTGCAGAGCTCACAGCAGCGCGTGTCAGACGACTTGATCCACTGGTTGAGGCAGCCCTGGTGAACGAAGCTCAGGCTGCCGGTGCAGCGGCAGGGCGTGATCAGCGGACAGTCCTCATCTCCCTCGCAGTGGCAGATCCTACGCAGAAACACACATTACACACACACACACACACACACACGCACACATCATGAGAGGGAACCACAAGGCCCTTCAAAAGTGTTCATGCCCCTGAACTTCTTCACATTTTGTCAACTTACAACAGACTGATGAAGTGTTTGATGAATAATGCATTTCTTTTTTTCTTTTTTTTTTTTGACAGACCAACAAAAAATATGAAATAAAAGGCAAATGAAGCATGCGTTAACATTTTTAACCAATAAAAAGAAAAATGTCCACCAGCCGGCTGTTCTTCATGGAGGGTATATTTTAAAAGGCAGCTTTCACAGCTCTGAACTTTGACTAGGACATTCTAGCGTATCAAAGCGTCATCTGAATCCATGCTGCTCTAGCTCTCCCTGATTGTCCAGCCTGAGGTTAAACATCTGACCCAGCCTCAAGTCTTTTGTGGTTTTTTTGTCGGGACCTGCCCTATACTCAGCTCCTTCCATCACCATCAGCATGATGCTGCCACCACCTTGATTCACTGGGGGTAGGGTATGTTCAGGGAGATGTGCAGCCTAGTTTTTTTTTTCAATAAATCTCAGATGTGTAGATGAATATGAGCACAGTTTGAATAAAGGTCTGTAGGTTTTCAGCTGTGGCGCTCTGCAGCTCCTCCAGAGCCACTGTTACTTTGTTACATAAAATAAAGCAGTTTTATGAGAACATCAGGAATGGAGGTGAATGATGTTGGGGGGCGTGAATACTTTTATCAAGCAGCTGTTCAGTGTTTTTGTACAGCCGTTAGTGTGTCGGTCTGCCTCTAAGTCTCTTCCTGTTCACACACTAACCTGCAGACCTCCAGCTCAGAGTCGTCTGAACCGGGTCCGGCTGCGCCCCCGTGACCCTCCCCGGCCCCGCAGTGGTTCTGGGGGATGGGCACCGACATGTCCCCGTCTCCTGACCCCCTCTCCTGGTATCTCTTGGTGATCAGTTGCTCGCCGTCCTCTGCCAGCGAGGAGCTGTCTCTGGAGCTCCGGGACCGGCGGCTCTTCTTCTCCCCCTCTCTGCTTCGGGACCTTCGATTCTGGGAGACGGGGCTCTTCGCCGAGCCCCTGGTGCTGTGTCGCTTCTTGAGACCGCCGCTGTCCTCCACCAGGGGCTGGTTCTCCTTCTCTTCGTCCGAGTTCACCGACTGCAGCTCCATGGCTTCCCCCTTGTCCTGTCCCGCTCCGCGGCCGCCTGCGGCGTCCTTCTCCCGGCTGCTGACGCTGCGGCGCCGTGCTCGTCGGGCTTTCTCTTTGCTCCAGCTGCGGGTTTCCCGCCAAGCCTCATCCTCGGTGGAGGAGTCGGACTGCGGCACGCCGGAGCGCCTGAGGCGGGGAGGAAGCTCCTTTCGGTTTCTGATGGAATGCTCCCGCTTCTCGCCCAGCTCGCTGCGGTTGGAGCTGCGGTCGCTCTGCTCCTGTTTGCCGCTCAGGTCCACGCAGTCGAAGGTGGAGCAGCTGCTCCTCTTGCGGCGGTGCCGTCTCTTCTTCTTCTGGGCCTGGGCCGACGAGCTCAGGGCTGTGCTGGTGACCGTCATGGCAGAGGGACTGGGTTTGTGCTTGCTCGGTTTGCGGGACTCAGAAATATCATCTAAGCGGGTCGGCTGGCCAGAGCTATGCACACAAACACACAGATGAAGATGGACATGAACAAACATGAAAATAGCAGATGGAACAAAAATGGGGGGGAAAAGTTATGAACTGAATGTGCAAAAAAGAAAAAAAAAAGCATGGCAAAGAGCACTGAAGGAAACAAGAAATAAAATATTCAGCAGATTTTTTTTAAAAATGAATGATTTTGATGTTGGCACTCGATAAAATGTTATGTTTTTTTTTTTTTACTGATTTCAAGTGGTTACTGTATGATGTTTTTATGATGTAAGGCACTATGAACTGCCTTGTTGCTGAATTGTGCTAAACAAATACACTTGATTGATTGATATGCATCTGTTGAATTTCTGCCTTAAATCAAAACAGAGGAAACCACATTTCTTGTGAATAATTAGAATGAAAGTATTAGCAGCCTCTCCTCCTGCATGTTCGGATCGTTGCTGCCCTACAGAGCGTCAGAAACTTGTTGCCCCTTTAATTTTTTCTCATTTATCAAATTACAGCCACAAACGTCAATTCACTTCACTGGGATTTTCAAACACAAAGCATTACTTAATTAAAAAGAGGAAGCAAAATAGAGGGTTACTACAAATAACTATCTGATGAGAAAAGAACATAATAAAGTCAAAACTAACTTGAAAGTAACTTTTCAGCAAAATATGAGTTTGTTTTAAGTCAATAATTTCTTAATAGCGATTAAAACACTAGTTTCACAAACAGATTATTTCACTTATAATATGGGAAAAATGTCTTGTTATAAGTTAAATCTGCCAATTTACTTGTAAGTTAGTTTTGTCTTAATTTAAGTGTATTAAGACAAAACTATGATCTCTGCACCAGAACCCAGACCAAAATACTTGGTAAGATCTTGTGTTTTTGCAGTGCACTGAACAGATTCTATGAACATCTTGAAGAAAAGCATCCCCACAGCATGATGCCGCCACCACCATGGATTACTTTGATGATGTTGTGTTCAGCCACATGCTCTGTTGGAGCCTTGAGTTCTCAGTTTGAGGCTGGTTGTCCAACTAATGTTCAGATTTATACTGAGGTTAAATCAGACACACACGGATGTCCTATGCGATTGCTGAATTTCAAGCAACTGAATGCAAGTCACATTTTTCAGCTTTCACTGTTTTTTGTAAAACCTATTTTTCCTCCCGTTTCACATCCTTACACCACTTTGTGTTGGTCTGTCACATGAAATCCAGCAAAAATACATCGAATGGAAAGGAAATGCTAAAAAATTTTAATAGCACTGCAAAAAAAAAAGCAGAAAAAAAAACTGTAGATATAACAAGTGCAAGTCAGACAAAAAGAAAAAGTTGTACTATTCACTTATATCAAAAGTATAACCAATTCATTTATTATTTCTGGGTTCAAGCAGAAATAATTATCATCATGCATAAATTAGCATCTGAAAATGTTGATTTGGGGAGAAAACTTTATGCAACAAAACTTTATTGTAGGTACGGCAATACAGACCAAACCACTGAACCAGGAAAATTCAGTTTTATGTAAAAAAAAAAAAAAGACATCTTTATTCCATCCACCACCATTAGTCAAAGAAAATGTAAAAAAAAATTACTTGTTGCAAATAAAACCTGATGTTCCTGCAGAAATGTTTGTCTTCTGTTCTGATAGCTGATGACATGTTGTCACAGTCTTTCCATATTCACTTTTTGACAACAAATGCTAATATCCTGAGCTGTTCCTGGGCGGGATGCATATTGTTCCTTCGCTACACGTATCCAACAGCAGTAGAAATTACACGCTAAAAACCAGAAGGAGAATCTCTGACATGGATAGTGAATCGTTATGAAGTGAGAAGAGGATGGTACATTAAAGGTTCAAGCACACACATTTCGTGTTTTCCCCAAAACCACCACAAACTATAACCACAAATAGCTCTTATTTTCCTTTTCCTCATTCCATACCGATCCCGACTCCATATTATATAATAACTCCGTTTATTTTTGCATTTTCAGATGCAGAGCCCTTCCTTCCTCTGCAGTAGCACCAACCAGAGAGCCGTCCGTCTTACCTGCAGATGTCCTGAGCAGACGGGGTTGTTGATGCTCTTGAAGCTGTGTTGCTGACCTGAAAGGAACAAGAATAAAAATAAAGCTTTTATTTTATACTTATTTTTTTCTCCAACAACAGTGTGTCAGGTATTATTGTTCTAAATTCATATTATCAATGCACCAAAAATATTATTTTTATGATTATTTCATGACTTTACTACCACTCTTCTCATAACACTTATCCAAACTGGTTGGTTTCCAGGTACAGACCCAACTCTTAAGCATGCTCAACATTGTCACTTGTTAAGCATGGTGGTGGTAGCATCATGCTGAGGGTCTGGTTCTTTGATACAGAGAGGGTTTCAAAAAAAGGGAATGATGTCATAAAAAAAAGTTAAGACTACCTTCAAATTAAATGATAACGCAGATGAAAGCTGGCAAACAGTGAACTTCTTAAATGACTCCAATCTTAACGTATTATAAATTTGTGAGCTGTGCTTAAAAATCCAGGTCCAGTCCAGGAATCCAGTCAATTTAAAGGGCCGGTACCGATTCTGACAGGAAGAGTGGTAACATGTATAGCCAGGGTGTTGCTGTTGGCAACAAAACGCCTGAGGTCGCGGTGCATCGACCCCTAATGACTACTGGATTGTTTACGTATGTGGGCCTGTGTGCATACTTCTGAGCCTGTGTGAATGAACTATAATTTAAGACTTGCTCAGTCTGTGCTTGTATTCAACATGTGGCTGCTTTTTCACTCAATTTGTACCACATCATGACAAGCTGCTCCTTTGTATCTTAGGCAGCAGTAAATGTTACAACCTAAAGCCTCTCTTTCCAGCAGACAAAAATGTCTCTAAATAACAGGAAAAACTAGATCTAAACCTGAAAGACTCACTGTTGCCATTTTAAAAGACTAGCAGAGTCTGACTCACTGGAAGAAAATTACAAAAGGATGGAGGGGGGAGGTGACTCAGTGTTTTTCAGCTGTATTATATGATTTTATATAACACCTTAGGATTTGTGACATTGTGTCACAGAGATGTTGGTAGCTTCTTTCGAATTTGATATATAAAAAATAATTATTAAAGAACACAAAGTGTCTCCTCAGAGAGCCATTCAGCATAGTCTGCTAGAATATTAGCCGACGTCAGATGGGGCCTTGACACAGGCAAGTAGACATTATGACGTCTTTAACTGATAAGGCTTTATTATTTGCACATTTATTACCTTGGAAATGTTGCTGGACCGACTGCCAGAGCGCCCAGGAGCTTTCCTTCCCTGCAAAAAAGGCAAAGGTAACTCTGAGTCAGTAGGAAACATAAAACAATATTGTTTCTCATAATGTTGCTGGCCCAGACGGAGCTCGACTCATACGGTTCCAGAACGGAAACAATTACCATCAATTTCAAACTACCCAGAGAATCAGTGACGTTTTCTACGGAAGCCGGGAAAGACTTTTTTCCCGTGGCTTATGTTAATTACCCATTTTCTCGAAATAACGAGTTGATTTCCCCAATTTTTTTTTTCAGATAAGTTAATTTCCAGATGTTTTTTCTCTATACGACGAGCTAACTTCCCATTGTCTCAAGATAAGTTAATTATATATATATAAATATATATATATATATATATATATATATATATATATATATATATATATATATATGCGTATTTTAAACTGTACGAAGTTCTTTTAATGTCCTGTGAGTAAATATATTTGCCCATTTCTCCACAACAACAGGAACTTTTCAATTTACCGTCTACAATCTAAAATAATCTATTAAAAAGATTGTTTCATCGAATTAAACTGAAGAAAACACGCTAACCGCAACGGCGGGAGTCAAATTACCGTAATAACCCAATATTGGCTGGAAAGCGCAACGTCTTCCCTTTCAGAAACCGTTGGAATTTTTCAGACAGCGCAAAGTGTCTGAAAAACTCTTTGGCTTGGAAAAACAAACACACACACACACACACACACACACCTCAATCAGCAAAAGATGAATTGTGTGTATGTTAAATGTAATTTCATCCGTCTGCCGTTGTGCCATGCATTTGAAGGATAACTCGTCATCAGAAAAAATTATGCGGAGTCATCCGCTCTCGGCTTCAAGCCTGTAAACATGTTAATCGCAAACCAGAAGACGTAACTCCAACTGATTTTATAACCAAAACAAACTTTAACCTTGAAAACTAGTTTTACTAGAAGCATGAAATCAAAATGTGTGAACCATTAGTATTTGTAAACAAGATCCTCTTATAGTAATTGCTCCCAAAAATGGGGAGCAATTATTCCCAAAAATTGCTCCCAAAGTGGATAAAAAACAAACTAATGTTCAAACTAATGACCGCCTTTTCGCACCTTCTGTTTCTGCGGTGTTGCCTGATCCTGCTGTATTTACAGTTTTAAAGTCCAACGTCAGAGGTCACATGTCCTCATAATTTCACCGTGATCCGCGCTAAAGCCACGAATCCTATTAGCCGTTTGTCCAGCTCCAGGGGCACCACGCTGTTCATCAGGGGGTTGCTATTTAAAGCCAACTTAAGGAAGTTTACCCAGAACAGCGATCGCTCAGACCATCGCCTGATCAACCCTGGCCTCAGCTCCTCGCTGCAGGAGTTAACGGTTCAGGATTTAGGCAATTACTTTAACAGACTGGGTCTGCTCGGTGCTGGATCAGTAGAAAAATATTTATAGCACACAGCCACAGAAAGAAGTCAGGACACTCTCTGTTAGCTGTTTGGTTTTTAAACATATCCATGTTCTGGCTTTTAATGGGTTCAAAAACATATTCTACCCTACTCACCTGAGACCAAAGGAGATAGGTTTGAGTTTTGATTCAAAATCATTTTTCAGCTCCACTAACAGCAAAATAAATTTATAAAAAAGATACATCTAAAGAAACGTTTTCTACTGTTATTTTGTGATCATTAATTCCCAGAGCAGATTAGCTGAACAGAAATCACAGTTTGTGTCGAAAATTTGTAGCGTTATTTTGAACAGCCAATCAGAGAGGGCATAATGAAGTGAGATAACTGTTTAGAGTCTAGTCAATCAATGACATCATTGGAAAACGCTTTCTGGATTTGTTCAGGTCATTTCTGTCTGAAATAAAAATTGAGTTAATGATGTGAAACATTTAAATCTGCAGTAAATAACTTTATATGAAACATATGTGTTTACATATTAATCACCATGTGACAGATAATCTGAAAAAGATAAGGGGAAAAAAAAAGAGGACCTCTACCTCTTCACAGCACTTCCACTGTCAACTAGAAGCAACCAACCAGAACCTGGAGGCGGGTCTTAGTGCTGTCAATCATGCCTCCCATCTCCTTGGTCCCAATACAACTTCTCCCCCTCAGCAGTCTGCCATGAATGCTCAAGCTAGTTACCATAGCATCAGTGACAGAAACGGTGGTCCTGTAACGGAGAGTTGTTTCTCTGCCATTAGCACATTTAGCAGCGTGCACAAGTTTGATTGACAGCACAAAGTCCCCCCTCCTGGCTCTGATTGTTTCATGGCCATTTCATCAAACAGCAATAACAGCACAGGGTGGAGGTGGAGGACACTGATCTTTTCACAGATAATCTGTCTCATACTGTCATGATGTAATGATCGTTACTTATGTTTAAAAAAAGAAAAAAGAATTTAATAAAAGTGAAATACTGCAGTAAATCTGAAGTGTGATTGACAAAAGCCCAGAAGAATCACATGACCTGCATTCAGGGGGGGATGTAATGATTCCAAAACAACTGTGGGCTTCTGAGTACTTAGTCAGAACACAGATCAGGGAATGAGTCACATCTACTCAGAAACAAACCACAGGCAGGAAGTAAACGGGTGATCGCCCCACATATCACCATGTTACCAGGTCAGAAACAAGCGCACTAGCATAGCAATAGCAGTAGAAACGATTTGTGGTCATTTCCCAAAGTTGACATTTTTCTCACCCAGGTCAGAACCTCAGCTGGTAGATCTGCTGAAGTTTGTGTGATTTCAGGTGCATTTCTGCTGACTTAATAGCTCTAATACACATACACATCTGAAATTATATTCATAACTGATAGCATGTTATCGACCACTCTAGAAACAGACGTCATCAGATCAACACCTTTTTTTTTTTTAAACCAAACTGTGGAGATGAGTAATTACATGTCTAAATGTTTTTCCCCTGACGACAAAATTCACAACAGCTTGACATTTTTCTACAGAATGAAAATCAACAAGATAATGACGATATGATTAAAAACATTATTGTTGTTGAGCCTTTTGTGGCAGAAAAAAATATATATCTTTAGTAGAAAAAACCCATATTGCTTTAAAAATGACAGAATAAAAGTTGCAGTTTTTTATGTAAGAGCTTTTCTAGAACACAAATTTACCTACAATTCATGAACTTTGATGGATTAAATCAGAGAGAAAAAACTAATAGCAAACTGGTGTTTTGAAAGTTTCCAATGGGTTGCTACGGTGACGTATATCAATCAGCGAAAATCACTGAAACAAACAGGACACACTCCGTCGCCATGTTCTAAGCTGATCAAGGGATTTTCTGATAGCCAGCCACCTTTGAACCAGCCGTCCTGTTAGGAGTGAGAGTAAGCGTTGCCGTCAACCGACACATCCATGTGTAAGAGGTTTGCACCTCTATTGGTTCATCAGTTAGAGATTGCTTTCCCCTGATGAGTCAGAAGAAAAGTTAACATGTTTCTCCACTCAACCGCAACTCCTGAAACCTTTGTTCTAACTCTGATTTTCAGTTAGTTTCCAAGTTGGTGGAAATTTTGAATGCTTTCAAAAACGAAAGTATGAATTGTTGCTGTGGTTTACTGACAGAAGACTGGCTTCTGTTTCCTTCTGCACAACCAACCCACTAGTAAAGTAATACGTATCACAAGTTTTACCTACATATATAATACCAATTATAAATCATTTGTATTTAATTAGTTACAAAAATTACAAAACTGGGCTTCCCATCCGGAAGAAAAGCCGCGATCAAATACTGAGAAGAACTTTGACGAAGTAAAAAGAAGAGAAACTCACTCGTTGTAACAGATTAGTGTTGCAATGTGTTGCAAGTTTCCTTTTCAAAATGTAATATGTTTTTCTTTTTTGCAGCTCTGATATATTTTGGACACAAAAGTATTAAGATGCTTGCTCATTAGTCAGAATTATCATCCGCAAGAAAACTCTGGAAAGGTTTACAACAGCATGAGACCAGAGTGGCCTCTGAGTGCTATGATAAAGATCTGCTTCACGGGGTTTTGTTTCATAATCTGCACCTAACAGGACAATTATTCTGCACTACATACAGATTCTTTATTAAAACAGAGTTTGAGATAATACTTGTTTGTAAAAAAAAAATAAAGAACAGAAAAGGTTTTTACTGACATCTAAACAAGCACTAACTTGGTTTAAAATTGTTCAGATGCCAGATTAGTTGTGAAATGGCCCTTTATTAATTAGAATTATTATTATTACTATTTTAGAACTGTTGTACATTCACTTAGAGTAGTGTTAATCCCAGTGGATGGTGTGACCAAACCCCCTCAGCAATAAATCTAAGCGAAATGTGATGGTTTTGGGAAAGTTACACAAACCTAACTGCACACACACACACACACACACACACACACACACACACACTAAAGCTCTCATCTTTTCAGTGACGTAATAACTGAGTGGTCTCACATTTTTAGCTCATACCTCATGGGTGTGATATCTACATTTTAAAGTTATAGAAGCTGGAGGTTTGCCAGATGCAAAGACCCATCATGTGACCATTACCCCTCCCCCATCTGTTGCTGGGACTGTCTATTAGCTGGCTCAAAGAAGGAAAATGCACTTTTTTATCACAAATCCAACTTCAGCTGTTTGGAAAACATTTCCATCAGCTGTAGCCGCCTCGCAAAATAGGTTGTATATCTGAGTGGGTTCTCTACATAAAAGAAAAAGTGATGTATTTAATATATGAGCTGCAGTTGCTGGTTGCCTGAGTGGACAGCATAAATGAATAACTGGTTAATGTCTTGGTAAACTTTTATTGCTCCATTAAAAGCACAACATCAAAATGTTAGAATATTGAGTAATATTCACTAAAAAACTACCAAATTTAGTGAGAATTTCCCCCCCCCCACTTTTGTGTTTAAGATAAAAAAAACAATTTAAAAGATATTATAATTATTCTAACCGACCGTGGAGGGACTAACTTATGTTCAAGTTTAAATAAAAAGCAGTTAAGTTGTAACTCCTGCAGATCAGAGCTGCGTCTGG